CTTTATGGTTCAATCTGTTGATGCTGTATGTTTAATTATTCTGTATTTCAACAATATGCAAGCCGTTTGTATGATTTAGAAGCCATCTTGTCATTAAGCAGTATATAAGTTAATTACAGTGGTACCTCTGCTTATGAACTTAATTCATTCCGGAGTTCCATTCTTAACCTGAAACAGTTCTCAACCTGAGGTACCACTTTAGCTAATGGGGCCTCCCACTGCCGGCGCGCCACTTCAGCTAATGGGGCCTCCCACTGCCGGCGCGCGATTTCTGTTCTCATCCTGAGTAAAGTTCTTAACCCGAGGTACTACTTCCGGGTTAGTGGAGTCTGTAACCCAAAGTGTTTGTAACCCGAGGTGTTTGTAACCCGAGGTACCACTGTATTATTATTTACTTCCAAGTAAGCGTGCTAATGAATCATTGAAATAATTTGATGAAAAAAAGTTGTTTTGGTTCATGAAACCATTTTTCCTTGAATTACTAGGTCAATTCCATGTATGTTTGGCTGAAACACTGCAGCTTTAGATGCAACTAAAATAGAGAGCACAGCTCAAAGTCCTAGAAGAAAGATTTGATTTGTCTGATGGATTTGATTTATTATATTTTTATGCCGCTTTTAATTCAAATGAATCCCAAAGTGGCTTGCAAACAACAAATAATAATAACCTAATAGAACATAATAGAATATCACCAATACAGCAGAAAGCATATGGAATAATTAGCAATTCATCAGTGAAACAATTACAATATATAAAACACTGTTAACAAAGCAGCAACAATTCAGTGAATGCCAAATATATAGGATTAAATTGTTATAGAAAGGCTAGCTTGTTGTACGTACCATCAAACTACTGACAGCTGTCCAACAAAATCTATTTGCTATTTGAATATAGATTTCAAATGCCATATATCTAGACGTACAATATGATATTGGGCAAATCACCATATCTCATCCTTAATTTCATATCTGTGAAATGTGAACCACAGTAAACAAAGATTTGCTTTTGCAAATTTAGTGACAGGGTTTGCCATAATTCTAACAAAAATATATTATATATATTCTGCTCTGAAGAGGAGGCAGAATTTAATATATCTTGCTTATTCTGTGACTCAGCCAACCAACAATGACAAGTTTACTTGAAATAGCTCATAATTTAGAATGCATGTCATTTAGAAAGCCGTTAATCCTTATTCTCTGTTAAAACCACACATATTTATGCTAATTAGCTTTATTGTTGCAGTTTATTTTGTTTGAAATATTCCAGAAGAACAGTAAAACTGCCTTTGAAAGTGGTACTTGCCATTGTTTATACTTAACTGAAATGCCATTTTCAGGTGCTGAAGGAGTACTCTGAAGATTAGGAGACCATAAATAATATACAGCAGTGCATTCTCAGAATCAGCAAGACACTTGCAAATATAAAACATTACACACTTTTATCACATATCTACTCTTTAAAAGTCTCATAATTGCTTTGAATTATTCAAAAGAAATTTGAGCTGACATACTTGGAAGACTTAGCACAATGTTTTGCCAAAATGATGAAGACATTTCATAAAAACATCAAAACGGTTTCAAGTGTGGCGTAATTACACATCACTTTTGCTAAGTACATGTATTTGCTGGTCGGCTGGAGACTAATATGAAGTTCAACAGCAGCGTTTAAGGCTGTATTCGAACTTGCATAACTTTTGGTTGATGTTTATGTTATCCTATCCTAGCTGCAGCAGCAGAAGAGGAGGAGGGGCAGCAGAACCTACTTTGTCCATTGGTTGGGACAAACTACCACTTGGCGTCTCCCCTTCCTGAACTGCCCCTGCCCTGTAACAATTGCATCTAAGAAATAACCATTTATGTAACTACAAAAAGAATTAGTTCCTGAATTTGCTTCTTTTTTCATTCCCCCATCCCCTCTTCCCTTTGTTTGTCTATTAGAATGTAAGCCTGCAGACAAAGATGGTTCTGTGTTCCAATCTTGGAACAGCACCTAGAGAACTTTAAGCTGTTTGTAAATGATGGCAATCATTATGGCTTTCCTAGGCAGTTGTGGGCAGTTCTATTCACTGTAGGTGTGTTATTATTTGGTGTATTCTTATATGATCTTTCCCCCTCTTGCGAATAAAAACTAAATATGATATATCTGTCAGAGGAAAAACAGCAGATATAAATTTAGAATACATGCCCTACTTGATGGTATCTGCAAAGAGACGTAGGGAAGAGCTGAGTGCGACCATTGATTCACAACATTTTATTCCATTGACCATGACATCTGTCTACATCACCTAACAGGAATGGGTGTGTTCTGGGTGGTGGTGCTCATTTTTAGGTGGGTTCATTTGATTCTGGAGGGTAAATCCCAGGTAGCGCTGAGAAAACATTACACAAGTCCTTGGTCTTTGGCTTATGAGTCCCTGTAGGATTCTGTATTATCCTCAACATTTTCAACATAATAGATTGCTGGAGATGATGTCATCTGATGACACACAGTTCAGTCTCTAAACTTAGGGAGGGAGTGGAAACACCTGACCTATTGCTTGTCAGCTAAACAAGGTTGAATGAGTGAAAAAAACAACAATTTAAAGCTAATCCAGATAAGGATTGATGGCCTGTTCTGAAACTTTGCATACTCTGTGTGCAGGATTACACTTCCCCTGAAAGATCAGGCTCCTTGACCCAGCACTTATTTTGGAGGATCAGGTAGCAGGGAAGACAAGGATTGCTGTTTACCAGGTTCTGCAGCTATGCTCTTTCCTCACTCGCTTAGACTTTTGTCATTTTCATTCTAATTATCTCCAGACTTCATTATAGTGTAAAGGTAAAGGGACCACTGACCATTAGGTCCAGTCGTGACCGACTCTGGGGTTGCGGCGCTCATCTCGCTTTATTGGCCGAGGGAGCCGGCGTACAGCTTCTGGGTCATGCGGGCAGCATGACTAAGCCGCTTCTGGCGAACCAGAGCAGCGCATGGAAACACCGTTTACCTTCCCGCCAGAAGGTATCTGCTTGCACTTTGATGTGCTTTCAAACTGCTAGGTTGGCAGGAGCAGGGATCGAGCAATGGGAGCTCACCCCGTCGCGGGGATTCGAACCGCTGACCTTCTGATTGGCAAGTCCTAGGCTCTGTGGTTTAACCCACAGCACCACCCGGGTCCCTTTTCATTATAGTAAAGTGCTCTAATTCAGGATGCCCTTGGTGTTTGGAAAGTTTAGCTGGTACAGAATAGTGCTACCCAAACTGATGACTCTAATGTTAATCAATCTATGTGTGCTTTGTTTCTGGATTAAATAGTTAGGGATCAGGAGATCCAAGTAACTGCTTTATCCCACTCTGCCTCTTGGCCACCCTCCACTTCAGCCTCGGAGTCTGAACTGCCCTCTGCCACAGTCTCTTCCTGCTCAGTAAAGAGTTACCTCTTATGCTTCCGAGCCCATCTCCTCCAAGTCTGCTCCTTCTTCTCCCTCAGACCACTCATCGTCATCCCATCACCACTTCCCTGGCTCTGAGTCTTCTTCCCCTTGGGGGTTCCCCAGCTGGTGCCTCCCACCGCTCTTCTGCATCCAACCATGACAATGCCCCATGTTCAGAAAATACTATTCTTAATAGAGGTGCTGCTTTGTATGCAATAGGAACTGGTCTTTTAGTGTTGTGGTGCCAGTCCCCTGGAATCAGTTACCAACTGAAATTAAACAAGTGCTTAATGTTTAGATGAAATGATCTGCGTGGTGCTACACTGAATACAAGCTTGTGTCGATGTATTGCATTGTATAAGTGCTCTAACTAGGTGAACAGATATATTATTCAGCAAGAGATAATTCATTGTTTTTAATGAGCATTGTGGATTAACTGAATAAATTTATTGGTTTTGATTATTGGGTTTTTTTTCCTGAGGGGTTACGTTGGTGATTAAAGATATCATTAATTGGATGGCCATGGGTTATAAAAAGATTAATTGTTTACAATTAATTTATAGTGATTTCATATTTTAAATTGTTTAAGATTAGATTGGAGATTAATTGTGCTGAGGGAATTAATGAGGAAGTTAATGGAAGATTATAAATTAAGCTATTAAAATTATAAACTGTTGGTATATTATTTGAATTGTTTATAAAGATTCTCTGGCGGCCACTAAAGTGCTGTGAAGAACCTGCAGACACTGAGCAATGCCAGGGCAGCGACAATGGCCTTACCAGGCATGGTATAAGACTTCCACAGTGGCACAGAGGTTTCTAGGCTATCACTGTGTGAAAATGTGCAGCAGCAACAGCCAGTTAAATCTGTTGACAGCATTGCCCATGCCATGTACCACTGCCGAGTCAATGGTTGAATGTCTGCACAATATTGACTGGCTAAGCATCTCTACCATGTGATGCCCACCAGTAATGGCATTGAGCACTCCCTCACTTGCCACTCAGCTTACTCGCCATTGCACACATCTTACTGTCTCCACTGCTGCAAATATTGTCTGTATAAGCATGTGCTATGTTGTGTAACCTGGTTCTTCCTTTCACTGTCTGGAGAAGGGGAAAGGTAACAGGCAGGAGGGATTTGTGGCTGCGTTTGAACTGTATTGGATCTTGGATGCTTCCATTTTTACGTCAACTGCTCTCCTTTTGCCACACTCTTAGCAGCCTGACTGAATAGCTCTGAACAGCGGGTCAGAGGGAGGAGATTTCCTCCTGGTTGCCTCCTAGCCCACTTGGAAGAGGGTGCGGGTGGTAAAGGGCTCCAGAAGTAGCCAGAGGTTTACAAAGATGTGCCTTTCCTTTCCCCATCTTCCTGCCAGAGTGGCTGAAGCAGTGTCACAAGTCATCCGAACAAGATAATTGCTTCTTTCCCAATACGTATACAGGAACCTGGGGGCTTCCATAAGTTGAGCTAAGCATTGAGATTTACAACAAACTGTGTTTGCTATTGTTAATACAAAGCATGTTCATTGCACTGCTTTATGTTTTTAATTTATCGATTGGTATAACCGATTCATCTCTTTGCTCTTTCAGGACTCCCAGCAGCATGTCTCTACGGGGCACAGCAATCAAAGTAAGAATAACTTTCACGTTGCAGCTGCATTTGATGGAAATTTTGCTCTTATAGGAACATAATAAAATAAATGAGGAGGAAGCAGTGAAAAAACCTATCCACTGCATATTTAGAATTGCAAAAATTGTGTATAGCCAAAATTACCATAAATCACCCCCTTCCCAGTCTGGCTGCAAGGTACTGCCACTTTTTCACAACTCCTCCCTCAGTTCCTGCACCTTCCTTGAGTAGGATCTGGATTGGTGGAGGAGGGAGAGGGGGCCTTCCCGACTTCTGTGTGCTGGTTGCTGGCTGTGGGGAGGGGAGGGGAGCCTGTGGGGAGAGGAGGGGAGCCATCCTGGGGAGGCCTTTTCCTTGTCTCTGCCACCTTCCCCCACTTCTCCATATGTGTGCCAGCAACTAGCAACTGTGGAAGGAAGAGACGGAAGGAGGCAATAAGAAAGGAAGGCTGAGAGATACAGAAAAGCCAAAATGAGTCCTTTCAGTTGTGGGTGAGATTGTGGTAGCCTATTCTGCAGGAGCTGCAGCCAAGCGCCTATAAGTGAATTTGTGCAAATTAAATGTGCATATGATGTGATTCCGCTCACAAAGCGGCATTTTAGAAAGCAGCCTGTGATTAACATATAGGCTTGGATCCTAGGATAAGCTAACTTCAATAAGTTTTGGAAGAGAAGTCTGCAGCCACCTTTGACCCCTCCAGACGTTCAGGAGGCCCTTTTGAACAAAGTTGGTGGGGGTCGCTAGAGGTCGGTGGCTAGTTGGAGGGGATGGAGAACTTCCCTTCTGTGAACTAAACTTACCTTAGGATCTAAGTCTGGTTTTCAGACCTAGATTCTTCCCTCCCCCGGCAGTCTCTTCGAAGCCCATCCCCATCCCACATTGGTTAGGAGGATACCCAGCTCTCTAGAGAAGCTTTGATGAGATAGAAAAGGCAAACCAGAGGGATGAAAAGACAAACCAGACAAACCCCCCCTGTTGCAAAAGCAGGTTTGTATTGCTGAAGTAGGCTGCCAAAATTGGATCTCACTTGTCTTGAGATTATGTATGCCTACATCCCAATGAAGGACAACAAACACATGGGGTTCTTTATTTCATTCCTGACAACCTAATTCTTAGGTAGAAATGCAGCCTAGAAGTAGTGATTTAGTTACATTTTAATGTTGTTTAAAAATGTGGCCTGTGTACTGTAAGGGAAGAGAAAACTGCTATGTGAGACACTCTATTAGCTCTTTCCTCTGATATCCCTGATGGGTATTAAGGTTGCCCTGAATAGTGTTGCACACCACTCCAATCTCTGCATAAGATTCCAGGGGTTGCAGGCACTCACCCAGGGTTGTGTTTTCATTGGGAAATCAAGGTACAGCGGAGGCTAGTGCATCTAAGAAATACAGTGTGTTGTACACATATTTACACCTGGGTTCAACTTTGGAGAGAGTATGCAGCATTCCATCTCAAGAGGCGCTTGTTCCCCACAACAGTGTAGCATTGAAGTCAAAGGCATTCTGCACGCCACCTCCATGGCTCTGTCCCATCCTGCCAAGGTGGTTCAATCAATCAATCAATCAATCAATCAATCAATCAATCTTTATTGAGGTCAAAGACCAGCCAAGATGGTTATACCCTGTATGGCCTTTGCCTGGAGTTCTGGCTCCACTCTCCTGCTTCCCAAAAGCCCTGGCCAGAAAAACCTAAACCTCATGTGAAATGACACTCTCCCCCCACCCCCCACCCCCATGGGCACAGCCTGCCTCCCTGTTTACCTATGTCATGGAAGCTGAAATCCTAAACCTTTCTGCACCCACCATAACATGGAAACTTCCCACTCTGTCCACCAGCAGAGAAACTCTTGCCCTAATGATGGCTTTGTTTCTTAATGGCTGCACTCAGCCAGCCTTGCCAGGCTGGTTTGACACCTTAGCATAGGCGAAGTCCAGGAATTTCTGTGTCGGCCACAGCTCAAACAAATCTTCATTAATTCCAACTTTTGCTAATTCTACCAAAATCTATAATGATATTAAAGATGCATGGCTCTATCCTGTTCCCAACCTGAAAGCATCCCGTTCATAAGCTATATTGTGTTAGCTTCATGATCTGTTATGCAGCAGATAGCACTATTACAGAAGCTGTGTTTGAAGATGAAAAATGCTCTGTGCCAACAGATGAGCTTTGAGAAGAAGGGTCACCTACTGAGCAAGGAGAAATCTATCCAGAGGTGAAGGTGTTAGAAGGCTTTTGGTGTAATATAGGGCAGCACTTTTCTAAGGGAAAGGTCGAGGATTAAAAGCAGTGTGGCAAAATGTTGTAGAGTGTGGTGCTTGTTAATTACCAGCAGTGTTTGACACTGTTGGGAAGAACTAGCACTGAGGAAATAATGAAATGGTAAGGAGAGTGTGTTTCAGTAGCCATATAAGCAGTGACAGCAGGAAGTACTAAAGAGAAAACTGGAGATTAAGATGAGCCAACTGCTCTGAATACAACTTAAGGAAAGCATAACTTGAATAATTTGCTATATGAATAACTTGTTTGAAATCAGAATGTTTGCATAGCGCTGACAACCATCTCCTGCATCAGATTGTGAAACATACTAATAATGGAAAGAGAAAATTGCCATGAAGAGGAGAGGGTTGTTTCTGCACATAGTAGTGTTCCCCCTGGCTGCTTACTGAATAACAGCACATTATTTTCTAACTCACACACACATCCTGCCACAATATGTGGAGACTGAAAATGTTTGCTTCTGTTTTCAACTAACCACAGTTGTCTTTATGTCCAATCTGGAAACTGCAGTTAGTTTAACAATAATTTATCTGAACAAGCTAGGATTATGAACTATTTTCTGAAGTTGGCTTGGCCAAGCTAACCATCATTAATATGAACCAGCTTGTCCCAGTTCAGACGTAATGACAAATGGTGGTTAATTTGAAGCAGGAAGTAAATGTTCTTGACTTGCTCATTGTGGCCACACTGGAAGAAGAGTGGGGAGCACTCAAACCCAAGAACCAGCCATGCCAGTCTTTTAGCACTAAACTATGGTTTAGCACTGCATCCAAATGAGGCCACTGCAAGCAACAGCTAGTGTTTGAAGATGATAAATTAGAAATTTGATGAAGTCAATATAGTTCCCTAAAGTCCCATTATTCCTAGCCAGTGATCAGGGATGATGGGAGTTGTAGCCCAAGAGCATATCATTCTGCCCCCATCGTTCTGCCCGGACGCTGAGGTCCAGCGCCGAGGGCCTTCTGGCGGTTCCCTCATTGTGAGAAGCAAAGCTACAGGGAACCAGGCAGAGGGCTTGGCCAAGCTAACCATCATTAATATGAACGGTAGTGGCGCCCGCCCTGTGGAACGCCCTCCCATCAGATGTCAAAGCGATAAACAACTACCTGACATTCAGAAGACATCTTAAGGCAGCCCTGTTCAGGGAAGTTTTTAATGTGTGATATTTTAGTGTATTTTTGGTTTCTATGGAAGCCGCCCAGAGTGGCTGGGGAAACCCAGCCAGATGGGCGGGGTACAAATAATAAATTATTATTATTATTATTATTATTATTATTATTATTATTATATGGAAGGCAACACATTAGCTACCCCTGATATTGAATATCAAAATTATTTTACAAATTTCGAGAGATTCCTTACTTGAACATTCTAAGAAGGCAATAGTGTCTATGTTATAGACATAGATACAGGGCTCTGATGAGTGCATCCCATTTAGATTATTCTTTTTTTCCAGCAGTTAACATATAATTGCCTCTCTCCTGAAATTACTTTTTTATCTGCAGTGCTTTCTGTACATTCTGCAATTATTAATGCAATAGGCCTCCTAGCAATAAGCATTCCTCCTTTAGGAAAAAGATAGATAGATAGTCTAAACAACAGAAGTTATACACAAAGTTATACACAAAGAAAACAAAGGTGTTGCTTTGCTATTTTATGCTGTTGAAGTTCATCAGAATATTTGATTTTAAAAAATTACAAATGAAGCAGAGATATGTGCATCTTTTCCTTCTCCACTCCAAGAAGTAGTTCTCAGCCTGAATTTAAACATTTGATAATTCATCCAAAACAATACGCAGGCCAAAATACAGCCATCCTTTGAAATTAATCTTCTCCAAATTTCCATATATGAGGACAGCATCTTCCCTAGATTAGTGATTTCTGACATATACATACCTTTCTGCGAACTATCCATAGAGGTAGTCATATTCGTTTGCCACAGCAGCAAAAGCAAAGCAGAGTCTTGTGTCACCAACAATTTTATTTTGTTGTAAGACTTTGTGATGGTTTCCAGTCTATGAAAGGTTAAGGTAAAGGTAAAGGGACCCCTGACCATTAGGTCCAGTCGTGACCGACTCTGGGGTTGTGGCGCTCATCTCGCTTTATTGGCCGAGGGAGCCAGCGTACAGCTTCCAGGTCATGTAGCCAGCATGACTAAGCTGCTTCTGGTGAACCAAAGCAGCGCACGGAAACACCGTTTACCTTCCTGCCACAGCGGTACCTATTTATCTACTTGCACTTTGATGTGCTTTCAAACTGCTAGGTTGGCAGGAGAAGGGACCAAGCAACAGGAGCTCACCCCGTTGCAGGGATTCAAACCGCCAACCTTCAGATCGGCAAGCCCTAGGCTCTGTGGTTTAGACCACAGCGCCACCCGCGTCCCTCTATGAAAGGTTGTGCTATAACAAATTGGTTAGACTTCAAGGGAACACAGTATCCTTCGTTGTCTTTATGGGAAAACTTTACCCCAAAAAAGGATTATTCCAAGGACAGAATCTCCCTTCTTGACCAATCAGAGCATTGTGGGTGACTCAGGCTTTGTATCACATGTTGATTTAAGAGCAGTCAATCGGGACATTAGATTTGAAGCTTTACTTCTAAGTGGTATGTTAATTCTTAAAGGCACATAGGGCAGGAAAAGAATATCTAGCTAGGTAGAGGTTCCTTCTAACTATTGCCACTTAATGTGGCATGGGACTTAGTCATGACCAACCTAAGTCCCATTAATTTCTGAGCATGGTCTGGATCAAACTCAAGAGATTCTAAAAGGCAAAGCTATCACTAATTGCATTAATAAATTTCAACTATGTTCCCTATAGCCACATGTAGCCTTAAAAAATGTGATTATATGCATTCTGAAAAGCTGTTAACATAATGTACTGACCTCTCCAATTATGGATGATTAATATTCATTTCTTTTTCTTTTTCCAAGGAAAAGGTGATGTTGAATCAAAGAATCCAGAAAACAGTACATCACATACATCGTAAGTCAGTTTTATATTTGTGGCCAGAAATAATGGGTAGAGCTTCATTTTCCTTGACAAAAGAATTGTATCCATTTGAGATTTTCTCTACTTTTTAAGGACTGCTGTAAAATATGCTTTCAGCGATGAATTTTTCACTAATTGTCTAGTAAGCTTTAATATCCCTTGATTTCTAAAGAGCATACATAACAAAGAGAATGTATACTTTTTGAGTAAGGATGGTATAATTTCATAAAAAATTGAAAGGCTTCCTGAATGAAATCAGGAGCTTGGCTCACTAGTTAAAACATATATATCACGTTGCATTTCGCCTTAGATGCACTGATGCAATTTTTAAACGCTGCATTCTGCAGCTTCACTTTTGAATTAAAGAAATCCATTTATACTTTCTTATCTGTGGTCTCCCTCGATTAGTTGATGGTTTTGAATTAGCAAAAGTAGTGAAAATAAAAGAAAATGTATTTGTAATACATCAATATTCACCATTCTAAGGTGAGAGCAGCTCCTTTTATTCATTTTGTTTCAATATTAAAAAATACTCAACTGTTTCTACCACTGTAAAACACCAAATCAACTAATGGACAGACTGAGGTTTCAGGGTTGGGGGAAAATCAAAGAAATCCTGGCTACATAAGTAAACTCAATTTAGGTCAAATGGTCAGAGTTAACTCTCAACCTTTTTACTTGTTTGAATGGGCAATTTTTCATGTAACAGTACAGTGGTACCCCGCAAGACGAACGCCTCGCAAGACGGAAAACCCGCTAGACGAAAGGTTTTTCCGTTTTGGAGACGCTTCGCAAAACGAATTTCCCTATGGGCTTCCTTCGCAAGACGAAAGCCCATAGGGAAATCTCCGGGACAGGGCGTCTTGCCCACTGTCCTCGGACCTCCTCCCGCCGCCAGGCTTCGGAAGGCTGCTCTGAAGCCTGGCGGGGGGCGGAGAGGTTTTTTAAAAACCCCGGGACAGCGGAGGACTTCTCCGCTGTCCGGGGCGATTTTAAAATGCTGGCGGGCGGCAGCGCTGCCGCCCAGCAGCATTTTAAAAAACCCCGGGACAGCGGGGGACTTCTCCTTTGTCCCGAGGTTTTTTAAAATGCTGGCGGGCGGCAGCGAAGGCTTCGCTGCCGCCCGCCAGCATTTTAAATTCGCCCCGGACAGCGGAGAAGTCCCCCGCTGTCCCGAGGTTTTTTAAAATGCTGGCGTCTTCCCCTCTCTCCCCGGACCCCTTTTGAAGCAAGGGGCGGCAAAGGGGAGAAGCGATCTTCTCCCCTCCGCCCCTTGCTTCAAAAGAGGGGACAGAGGGGAAGGCGCGCGCCTTCCTCTCTCTCCCCCTGGACCCCTTTTGAAGCAAGGGGCGGCAAAGGGGAGAAGCGATCTTCTCCCCGTTGCCGCCCCTTGCTTCAAAAGAGGGGACAGAGGGAAAGGCGTGTGCCTTCCCCTCTCTCCCCGGACCCCTTTTGAAGCAAGGGGTGGCAACGGGGAGAAGCGATCTTCTCCCCGTTGCCGCCCCTTGCTTCAAAAGAGGGGACAGAGGGAAAGGCGTGCGCCTTCCCCTCTCTCCCCGGACCCCTTTTGAAGCAAGGGGCGGCAAAGGGGAGAAGCGATCTTCTCCCCGTTGCCGCCCCTTGCTTCAAAAGAGGGGAAGGCTGGCGGGGGGCGAAAATCTTTGTCCCCCCTGGCTGCCTTCCCGGGAGGGCTTTTAAATCGCCCCGGACAGCGGAGAAGTCCTCCGCTGTCCGGGGCGATTTTAAAATGCTGCCGTGGGGGGGGGAGCAAAGACTTTCGCCCCCCCCAGCCTTCTGAAGCCTGGCGGGGGGCGAAAATCTTTGTCCCCCCTGGCTGCCTTCCCGGGAGGGCTTTTAAATCGCCCCGGACAGCGGAGAAGTCCTCCGCTGTCCGGGGCGATTTTAAAATGCTGCCGTGGGGGGGGGAGCAAAGACTTTCGCCCCCCCCAGCCTTCAGAAGAGGTCGGGGGACAGACCTGGTCTGAAGTCGGTTTCCATAGGAACGCATTAATTGATTTTCAATGCATTCCTATGGGAAACCGTGCATCGCAAGACGAAAAACTCGCAAGAAGAAAAAACTTGCGGAACGAATTAATTTCGTCTTGCGAGGCACCACTGTACAGACCTGTGAGTTTTAGAGTGCATCATGTCAGTTATTGATACCCTTTGGTTCAGAGAGTGTTGTGTCATGTAAAGGCACAATGAGGGTGATTGGGTGCAGAATGCTCTTAATAACAGTAAAGCATGTAAGTACCTCCTCGAAACAAATCCAAAAAAACAATTTGACAGAGCCTGGTAGCAAAATCTTTGTTACAGAATACGAGGGGTGAGTAATTCTTCCCACACATTCTATGACTACTTCAAGGCAGAAGACCATGCAGGCTCAGAATCCCACAAGCTGAAATCTTGCCCAGATGTTTCTAATGAACTGCAGCTCTCTCTGATTCAGTTATATGGCAAGTTCTCACCTGAATCACTGGGCCTCCATTCATGGCAACATAGCCTATTCATGGCAACATAGCCTATTACAGCATCATCCCTATGCCCCTGGTTGATATGGAGAATAACAGCTCCTCCTGAACTGCAGAAGTTAAGAAAAAGGAGGAGGCCAAAAAAGGAAAGAGAGATGGAGGCAGCTGGGTGGGCACCTCTTACTCCATGGTGCACACTCACCTTCTTCTTTTTTTATTCATGGCCCTTTTAGGAAAGGAGCTGAGGTTAGTGATCTAAAACACACTTAGAAAAAATGGTTTGAAATTTCACTATTAAGTCAAATTTTCAAGTAGCTTGTTATCGGTTTACTAATGTCAAATAGGAGCCAGTGGCATTTCCCAAAGTGAGTGTTCTGTTCACAGTTCCTTTGGTCCCAACAATAACAACAAAAACACGAAGGATTCTTATCTGCAAAAAAAAGTCTATAAAGCATATGTATATAAAGTAATTGCTTAGTGACCTTATAAACTCAAAAGGAACAAGTTAATTTTGTTTCTGCAAATCTGAAACTCCATATACAAACTGAACATTCATAGGTACAATGGCAGTTAATTCATCCTTTCACTGGATTTATTGCTTCCATCGAACATTACTCTCACAGACAGGTTTATTACCCTCCTGAATCAGGCGGAGAGCCATTCATGAGTGGAACATTTACATTTAAGTCTTTCTGAAGGGAGGAAATCAACTCCCTCCTATCTGGATTACTCCATTACCAAAAACTTAAAAAAGAAAAGAAAAGAAAGAAAACTAAATGTCATCGCTTCTGGTATCTATTTATCTCACAAAGTTCCAGGCAAGATAATAATAATAATAGAGTCTAGGAGTGCCTACTAGTCCTACAATGTACACTGAGACAATTGGCTCTTTTGGCCACAGTTTTTTCCAGACTTCTGTGCTGAAAAAACACATCCAGAGGCACTTAGGGATGAAGCAGGAAAGGAAATCACTGCAGTTTGTTTGTTCATCTGTGATCAGGAAAGGAAATCAGTCAGTAAATACCATTGTCTGCCTTGGCTCTCAGACTCAGTACTTGGACTCTAGGCTCAATAATTCATGAAGACTTTATTCCACAATTGAAACATAGTTCAAGATACAGGTAACAGAATCAATTGTTCAGAAGTAGGGCTATGAGATACATGGCTAGGAACAAGCTAAGACAGTGTCTCAACGCTTGACATGCCCCCTTTGCTCCCATTTTGAAGGGTGCGGCAGGCACAGCCTTTCTGCAGTTCTCAGCCCATACAATGAAACTGGCCAACAGGCACCACTGGAAGTAGGGTGGGTCTGCTTCTGTCAGTGCATGTACTAGTGCATCCTTGGAGGCAGGGCCTGAATTTGCTCTGCCAGCTCACGATGCAACCCAGGTTCCCCCCAGGTTGTTTCAGTCTTAAGGTAGGGTAATGACTGACTTGCTCAGCTCATCCTTCTCCACTGGGACGAATGGCAATATATGGGTGGGGATGTCTCCTAACAGACTATCTGCAACCCCATTGCCAAGAGACTCAGTAATTTGCTTCCATTCTTCCTCTCCTTCTGACAAATCCTGCCAGAACTACCCCTCCTTGTCTGTCACTGTGGGGCTCATGACATTGTCATTAAAATAATAATAATAAAAAGATCTGCAAACAGTACATAATTCATGACTTTTCAGTAAAGGAATTCAGTGTTTCCTTTACAATGAAATGAATGTAGGCTACATAAATAATGGCATATAACGGAAAATCTGGCAGAAACTGAACTGCAGCAGAACGGAAACATTGCAAATTTTGACAAAGTCAGAATGGGAACCACTGCCTTCTTACATCCCTAATAACACCAGTGGCAGACTTTGGGCTCTCAAATTTCAATGGCGCCCTGTGCAATGGCAGAATTCAGCAGCACCCCTCTGCCCACCTCTCACACTCTTTTCTACAGCATTGTTCTGGTGCCCCCTCCAGTGCAGCCAAATCGGTTGCGCTACCCTAAAACCGCCTCTGGTAGCACTGTAACTTTATGCCAGGTTTTGCTGCATTTCTTAAAGATGCTAAATAGATGTAACTTTTCAATCTACCTGGTGTATATAATGAAGTAGACTCTGTCCTATGAAAACTCATGCCTCAACAAGCCATTCCCTTGTTTTGAACTGCATCACCATCTTTTTTTAAAACTCAGGAGGGTGCCAGAAACAGTGTGGCACAGGTGTGTTGCGGTTTCAAGGAGAGAGAGACACCACACAATTTGAAAACTGAATATAAGGGAAACAGCTATTATTCTGAAGGTGCCACTATTGCACTAGATACAAGATGTTATGGCTGTCTTCAGGCATTGCAAACAGATGACAGCAACAGACACAGGAATTGCTCTTGTTCTGCTTTCATATAATGACTGGAACAGGAATTAATGTATCTTCTGAGCCGTAACGTTTGAGAGTAACAGATGTAGGTGGATCAAATATATATCTCCGCAGGGTAGATGCATGGGTCCCTCCTTTGAGCATCACACAGGATGTGAAGGTCACT